AATGCGAATAACCATTGTTAATTGACAATACATCGTCGATATGTCTAAATAACGAGTTGAAGGCCACGTGTTTTCTTTATAAGATTTTGGTCAAAATCTGCTCCATATGAATACAAAAATAGGTCTGCTAATAACGGAGTGCAGTTGGTATCAATTGGCATTTCAATATATTGTTGGAAGACCTGGTCTCAAAAAAAAAAAAATTAGAAACTCAGAATGATTTTTAAAGAAAACAATTTTGCAAATGACCATTGAAAAGTTAAGTTAATTTACGAGTTCCATTCTTATTGAAACAGCAGCTGTCAATGATATCAAAGAGCCTGGACTTTAATTCATCGTGAGAAATGGTTGTGTATAAAGTTGAAAAGTCGTAAGTTTTTAAGCTTTTGATTTTGGTAAAGAAATTTGATTTCAAATTTTCCAAAAGTTCCTTGGAATTTTTATCGAGGGTTACTTCCTCAGATATCATATCTATATATACTAGATTCCGAAACTTCGTAAAAATCCTTACAAACAAAGATACATAGCGGGTTCCAGTAAATGTTCAACCAAGCCTCTTTCTATACTCCTCACTTAGATATTAACAGTAGTGAAGTAGATACATAAAGAGTATTGTGCACGTTAACTTCCATCAAGACATTTTTAGCTCTACTGGTCAGAGACCAGAAGAGCTTATGCGATAGTAATGCGTCCGGCGTCCGTCCGTCTGTCTGTCTGTCCGTTAATCTCAGCGAGATGTCGTAGGGACTAAAATATTTGGTCGGACGTCCACTACGACATCTCAGTCCACTTCCACACAACTTGATTAGGGATTTTTTGCTCAGATTTCGACAGGTTGTTTCAATCAATATGGGCTGAAATGAATTATCTGCTCGCTTCAACTTTTTCCTTTGAACATCCCTTTAAGTCTCTATCACGATAAAACTTTCCTTTCTTACCTTTAAAATGTTTAAATCCAACAAAATATAAAGTTGTTTATTTTTCCTCTGTAATGTCCAATTCATTTAAACCTCCGATGTTGAAGAGTTCCAAAAAAGTCTGCTTTGAATAATTCGTACTATAGTTCATTCCTATAGGAAATAGTAGTAGAACGAATAATTCAAAGCAGACTATTGTGGAACTCTTCAGCATTGGAGGTTTAAATGAATTGTACATTACAGAGGAAAAATAAACAACTTTATATTTTGTTGGATTTAAACATTTTAAAGGTAAGAAAGGAAAGTTTTATCGTGATAGAGACTTCAAGGGATGTTCAAAGGAAAAAGTTGAAGCGAGCAGATAATTCATTTCAGCCCGTATTGATTGAAACAGACTGTCGAAATCTGAGCAAAAAATCCCTAATCAAGTTGTGTGGAAGTGGACTGAGATGCCGTAGTGGACGTCCGACCAAATATTTTAGTCCCTACGACATCTCGCTGAGATTATCTGTCCGTCTCTCCGTCTGTCTGTAAACAATTTTTCAAAATGCTACTCCTCCTACAGTTTTGGTCTAATTTCAATATAACTTGGCACACAAGTAGACTACACTAAGATACATAATTCTGTGTATCGGTTTTTGATTTCGATGAACGGTGTTGCCGTGGTTACTAAAAATAGAAATTTCTGTGAAATTCTTTCAAAATGCTACTCCTCGTACAGTTTTGGTCTGATTTCAGTATAACTTGGCACACAAGTAGACTACACTAAGATACATAATTCTGTGTATCGGTTTTTGATTTCGATGAACGGTGTTGCCGTGGTTACTAAAAATAGAAATTTCTGTAAAATTGTTTCAAAATGCTACTCCTCCTACAGTTTTGGTCTGATTTCAATATAACTTGGCACACAAGTAGACTACACTAAGATACATAATTCTATGTATCGGTTTTTGATTTCGATGAATGGTGTTGCCGTGGTTACTAAAAATAGAAATTTCTGTGAAATTCTTTCAAAATGCTACTCCTCCTACAATTTTGGTCTGATTTCAGTATAACTTGGCACATAAGTAGACTACACTAAGATACATAATTCTGTGTATCGGTTTTTGATTTCGATGAACGGTGTTGCCGTGGTTACTAAAAATAGAAATTTCTGTGAAATTCTTTCAAAATGCTACTCCTCCTACAGTTTTGGTCTGATTTCAGTATAACTTAGCACACAAGTAGACTACACTAAGATACATAATTCTGTGTATCGGTTTTTGATTTCGATGAACGGTGTTGCCGTGGTTACTAAAAATAGAAATTTCTGTAAAATTGTTTCAAAATGCTACTCCTCCTACAGTTTTGGTCTGATTTCAGTATAACTTGGCACACAAGTAGACTACACTAAGATACATAATTCTGTGTATCGGTTTTTGATTTCGATGAACGGTGTTGCTGTGGTTACTAAAAATAGAAATTTCTGTGAAATTCTTTCAAAATGCTACTCCTCCTACAGTTTTGGTCTGATTTCAATATAACTTGGCACACAAGTAGACTACACTAAGATACATAATTCTGTGTATCGGTTTTTGATTTCGATGAACGGTGTTGCCGTGGTTACTAAAAATAGAAATTTCTGTAAAATTGTTTCAAAATGCTACTCCTCTTACAGTTTTGGTCTGATTTCAGTATAACTTGGCACACAAGTAGAATACACTAAGATACATAATTCTGTGTATCGGTTTTTGATTTCGATGAATGGTGTTGCCGTGGTTACTAAAAAAATAGAAATGTCTGTAAAATTGTTTCAAAATGCTACTCCTCCTACAATTTTGGTCTGATTTCAGTATAACTTGGCACACAAGTAGACTACACTAAGATACATAATTCCGTATATCGGTTTTTGATTTCGATGAACGGTGTTGCCCAGGTTACTTTAAATAGAAATTTCTGTGAAATTCTTTCAAAATGCTACTCCTCCTACAGTTTTGATCTGATTTCAGTATAAGTTGGCAAACAAGTAGAATACACTAAGATACACAATTCTGTGTAACGGTTTTTGATTTCGATGAACGGTGTTGCTGTGGTTACTAAAAATAGAAATTTCTGTGAAATTCTTTCAAAATGCTACTCCTCCTACAGTTTTGGTCTGATTTCAGTATAACTTGGCACACAAGTAGACTACACTAAGATACATAATTCTGTGTATTGGTTTTTGATTTCGACGAACGATGTTGCCGTGGTTACTAAAAATAGAAATTTCTGTAAAATTGTTTCAAAATGCTACTCCTCCTACAGTTTTGGTCTGATTTCAGCATAACTTGGCACACAAGTAGACTACACTAAGATACATAACTTTGTGCATCGGTTTTTGATTTCGATGAACGGTGTTGCCGTGGTTACTAAAAATAGAAATTTCTGTGAAATTCTTTCAAAATGCTACTCCTCCTACAGTTTTGGTCTGATTTCAGTATAACTTGGCAAACAAGTAGAATACACCAAGATACATAATTCTGTATATCGGTTTTTGATATGATGAATGATGTTGTCGTGGTTACTAAAAATAGAAATATCTGTAAAATTGTTTCAAAATGCTACTCCTCCTATAGTTTTGGTCTGATTTCAATATAACTTGGCACACAAGTAGACTACACTAAGATACATAATTCTGTGTATCGAATTTTAATTTTGATGAACGGTGTTGCTGTGGTTACTGAAAATAGAAATGTCTGTAAAATTGTTTCAAAATGCTACTCCTCCTACAGTTTTGGTCTGATTTCAGTATAACTTGGCACACAAGTAGACTACACTAAGAACATAAAGAGACTTTATCAACGATCATTATTCTATTTAATGCTGTTTATAAAGTTTCAAATCCCAGCTGCTTAAGTACTTTCTCTTCCTTTGCTATAAGTTCAAACCAGTAGAGCTTCAGTCTCGACAGAGACTTCTGGTTGTTTACTTGTGTTTTCAACGTCCCTTTGAGATATTTTCACTCAAATCGGGACGCCATCACTTTTCGATGGAGAGCTGCCAGTTTATTCCTGTTCTTAGTACTTAGGGCCTCTAAGCATTGATGTAGTGCGACACCGGACCCCGGTTTATACGGTCTCCATGGAAGGACCGGTCACCACGCCCTACAGTTGTATTCAAACTATTTGAATTGTTAAATAAAGATATAACTATTTGAATTATGTTTTTAAGTCTGTGTATGTGTTTAACACAAATTTGCTAAATAAGGGCATACATCGCATATTATTGATACACATGTACATAGATTAGACCAAGCAGCGAGGTAGTCAGTTACAACATAATTTTATTGCAGAATGATTTGATAAATGTCTTTTAAGTTTGCGGACAATAATATGATATTGATCGCCCTATTATCAAATACAAACATAGGTCTCTCCATATCAAATAAGGATATTCTTTGAGGAAGTTTTTAAAATGGCATTTAAATATAACCATTTACTTAATTCAATTACATGTTGAAGAAATGAAACGATTTGACTCAATGGTTGAACTAAATGTTCACTTTACACACTAAATAGTTCTAAAAGTCGGACTCCAATACTTATAAATGTATCTGCCCTCTTGCAATGTAACTTTATTTTCTAGACTTTCTTTGTAACAAAATTATATCCGTAATTAGGACAAGAGGCCCATGGGCCTTATAGGTCACCTGAGCATCATGCAACAACTTTCCAGTGATTGAATTTGGTTCATGTTATAAGCCAGATGCTATGTATTCACAATTTTGAAAGAGGCACCATTGATCATCATAACTATACACTTAGCAATTGCTTAGTTTGGTTACTAAAATGCATTTCAACTAATCAGTAATATTCAGCAATAATCAGTAGTGTCCCTACCACACATGAACCCCTGACCCTAGGTCTACACATTACACAATTTTTCAAAATGGCACCATTGCTTTTCAAAAATATTTGATTAATACCAAGGAGCAGATTTCAAACTATTCATTCATTTTCAGTATATAAGTAGAGCCCCTCCCCTCTATGGTACCCCTGACCCTGGGACCTTGAAATTCACAATTCTGGAAGAAGGACCCTTGCTCATCATAACTATATAAGGGCGTCTTTGGGCGAGAGCAAGAACTATGTTCTTGTTTGTTCTCGGAACAAGAACAAAATCTGTGTCACCCAAACGTCAAGAACAATCCAGAAGAACTTGTTCCTGGAACAAAAATTTTGCACCACCTCAATTGCGGGAACTTAAAGAACAAAAATGGCGGACAGAGATTAGAGAGGTGATTTGTGGATTTTGTTTTTAACTACTTTATCAACTTTACAATGCATGATAATTATACTGCTGTGTAGAAAAGAAGACATCCAGCGGTAGTAAAAAAATAATCCTAATCTAAAATAAGAATATACTTTTTTCTCGATATAAGTAACAAATTTGTTAACTTGAGATTCCTCTAACTAATAACTGAAATTATTTTATGATATGCGGTAATGTGCGCTGTGGTTGGAATGAAACGAATCATGGGGGAAACTTTTTATAACTAACATATTACGTACTTATTAATCAATTTTTATTGATAACATTACTTTTTAGTCAAAATTGGCCTATTTTCGCCTAATATTTTAAAAAATTAAAAAAAAATTCTAATATGAGGGATCGAGAATAAATATAATAAAATGTGTAAATCGTTTTATTAGGGTACATGACAATGATTAAATTTTTTGAAGGCTTTGTCCAATGATAATTTAAATGTAATGGTAAGTGTATCAAAATAAATAATGCATAAAATTGAGAAAGAAAGGAATTTAAATAGTTTATCTTCTTTTTAAAATAAATAATTATATAGAAATTAGATTACTAAGCCTGTTTAAGAGCATAAATTACTACAAATAAAATAGTTTTGTGTCCTGCATGTAAATTCAGTGACATTAGTTTGCATGAATATTTAAATACACGAAATATGCATGAAATTCTTTTTCTTAATGGTAGATGTCTACAGAAATCGACACAATAAAGTGGACTTGTTATATTTGTCATAAAGCCCCATCCCGTTTTGTTTGTGCATATCTCTCGGAGCAAGAGGATAGGAAGAAAACAACAATTTTTATAGAGGGACCTACAGATTCTGGAGAATACAAGTAAGAATTGTAATGCTCATGAAACTATCAAAAACTAAGGTTGACATTTATATTTTTCGTTTTACTATTAGGTTTTACAGTTTAGAAAGTTTCAATTTAAAATAAACACAATCTGATTTCAGGATTTATCTAAGGTGTGTCAACTGCCACTTGTCATTTCATGCCAGCTGCTCGCAGTTTGAGATCCATACCATACTATTAGGGGAAACAGCAGCATCGGAAATCCTTTGTAACAGTTGTGCATAAAATGGCCAATCACAGAAAGACCATCACACAGGAAACCATGCCTTTGCAATCGTTAGTATTTGAGTTAATATAATTTATAACGGATAACATGTTTTATCTCAAAAAATTTCGAGAGCTTTAAGTTTTAAAAAATATCTGAAGTGGTAAATGTAATCCAAAATTAATTCATATATATTTGTAGCTCTGATGTACTTGTAACGACATCCGGTGAAAATGTTATCGTTCAATGTCCAGACCATTTAGTAGAAACTTTAACATCACCTGACACAGGTACTATTTTATTTGGCATTCAGTGTTATTTTGTAAACCGGACAACGAAAAAATTATAGTCTCACCAAACACATTACATGTATATGATTACATATTCGTCTAATGTCTGTACCATTGAGTAACTTAGTAAAAATAAAACCCAAAGTTAAGAACTCAGTCTTACTTACACAATCAAACTGTAATTACTAGTAAAATGCATTTGACATTAAATATTGGTCCAATGCAGATCCAGCTGTAAAGAATCTCATTTGGAAAGGGTTATTGAGTCAGAGTGCGGGAGAAGGTGGTTCCGAAGGTAAGCTTGAATGAATGTTATTCAATAAATCCAACAATATATTTTTTAAATTTTTATTACACATGGCAATGCATTGGCGTCGGATGCAAAAAAAGTGGGGGCTAAGTGTTAGAATTTTTTTTAGACCTACAAAAAAACCTGACAAGCAAAACAAAATGAAAGGGTGGGGGCTAAACCTACGCCGCAATGTTCAATGCTTATACTAAGTCCATCTTTGCCCAAAAAAGGGGGAGGGGGCTAACCCCCCAACCCCCCCCCCCCCACCCCACCCCAGTGGTTCCTATGCCTATGCAATGAAAAAACATTTCAATTCAACAAGTGGTTTTGTGTAGTTTACTACTAATATATATTAATAATCAATTTTCGAAAAGCAGGATTGGATGCCAAAATAAATTGCAGCCAGGATGATGATGATTATACAGGGGACAGTACAAGCAGTAGTTTGCCAGGTATTAAACTAGATCTTATAGTTAATTAACTTCAAAATGGTTCCGACAAATACAGGGCAAATTCAAAGTTTTCTTTTTTTCTTTTTTAAAACAAAAACAAAACTAAAAATTAAGATAATTTATGATATCTGTAAGTGATAGCTCTCTAGTCTTCATGTACTTCAGATAGTAAATTTGAATAATTATTATGGTCACTGTCATTGTTGATAATTTCTTTAACATTTAACACCCTTGCAATAATTTTAGGTCAACAAAAATGGAAAGATACAGAGAGTAAAATGTTGATTGATCTCAGAATTAAAATGGATGATGAATTTAGAGGCAGTAAAACACATAAGGCTTTATGGAACAAGCTTGCAGACACTATGAACAAAAATGGTATGTTTGTTACCGGAGAAAAGTGCAGCAATAAGTGGAAAAGTATTAAGAGAGACTATAAAACAGTAGTTGATAAAAATGCTAAGAGTGGGAGTGGAAAACAGAAGAAGTGTAAATTTTTTGATGAGCTCAACAACTTGTTTGGCAATAAACCCAGTACTCGGCCAGAATGTGTTGTGGACACAAGTAGTTTTATCACAAAAAGCAAGGCCCGGACAGACAGTTCCACAGAGAATGCCACAGTGCCAAACTGCCCTCCAAACACCACAGCCTCTGATACGGATGAAGATTCAGATTCACAAGCAGTCCAGATAAGAAAACGCAAAATATTACATGGTAAGATGACTGCCACCAAAGTCAAGAAATCTGGAACAGACAGGCTTATAGACTGGCTTGATAACTACAAAAGCGTACAGCAAGATATGCAAGAAAAACAACTGAAATTTCAAAAAGAGCAAGATGAGGAAAAATTTCGAAGGATGGATAGGTTTCTGGAATTGATGTCAAAACAAACAGGGAAGAAGGATGAAAATTAGTGATTTGCTGAGCATTGCACTTCAAATGATATTAATTTTTTTAATCATGCCAGTCAGGTTCAGAATTTTGTTTTTATTCCTAAATTACATACCTTTTTGTGTCATGTGCAGAGCCTATTGTAAGTAAAATACATTCAAGCCATTTAATGTTTTTTGCACATCATGTGCCAGGATCTGGCTTGTCCCAAAGCAGAATTGATGGGTTTTTTTATATGTTATATGTGCATTTTGTCATTTTATTATGAATATTGTTTTACACAGGCAGTGAGGCAATAAGCACCTGGAAGTGTTCAAACATTTTTTGTTAAATTATCATTTCAAGTACTCATTGTTTACAAATGATGTAAAGATGTTTTTTCCTATTTTAATCATCAAGGTTTTCCTTAAAATGATCAAGAGAGCTTTTCTGATTTAATGGAAACATCTGTCTGTCTATGTTGTCTGTTAACTTTTCACTCTGATGACTTCTCCAGAATAACTACACCAATATCAACTAACTTGCCACAATGGGAAAAATTTTATTTAGGTGAAAATTTTTTTCCAAAAATTCAAATGCCATGATTAATTAAAGAAATACTGAAACATCGTCAGTTAGCATATATTCAATAATTTTTTTTAATCTGGACCCCATTGGAAGCTAAGATGGGACCACCTATATTTTAAAACTTGTACTGATTTCTGCTTTTGATCAGGCGAGCAATGTGGCCCATTCCCATGAATATCTTTTTTAAATGTGATACATTACCTTTTTAATGATAAGAAATATCACTTTCAAGATCAAATGACATAGAAATCAAACTTGTTAAACATTTTATATATCTAGCATATCTTGATAATTCAACCTGTATTTGATGAAAATATTAATATATACAAATCATTTTTGCAGTATAAGCCAGTGTTAGTAGTTTATATTAGCATGTATACAAGCTTGAAATGAAAATTTCATTCAAGATGATTGATTTTGTGATAGGCATAATTCTTTTCATTTGTAAACTTGCATAAAATGATATTTAAATAAATGTTTTCTCTAAAGTATACAAATTGTATATTGATATTTCATAAATCTTCTGTACTTAAATCATTCAGGTCAGCATAGTTTAATGACAAATATTTTTCAAATGGCATATTCAAAGAATGGCAACAAGTCTATCTCTTATGTTAGTTCCATCAGCAGCATTCTGGAAAACATTTGGATATTGGTTGATGTCTTCAGCCTGTGTCATATCTATGAAGTCATCGATGTAATCGTCGCAGATAATGCACATGTTGTGCAAAATGCATGCACTTATGACTAAATTACACATGTGTGTCACAGAACCAACATGAAGATTTTGAAGTCGTCTGAATCGTCCTTTCAAATGACCTATCGCTCTTTCCACACATTGTCTTGCTGAGGAAAATATTCTATTATATCTTCTTTGGGCATTATTTAAACGTCCATTATCCCTGAATGGAGTCATAAGCCACCACTTCAAAGGATAGGCCCCATCGGCAATAATGTAATGATTTTGTAAGATTTTCCCATTGTTTTCCGCATAATGAAAGATACCAGAGTTACGCAAGACTCTCGCGTCATGGGTACTGCCAGGCCATCCCACGTTTACATCATTTATCATTAATTTGTCATCCACAATGAGTTGTGCTTGAATGGATGCAAACCCTTTTCTGTTGATATAATCTTGCTGGCCCCCAGGACAATTAACAATCCGGATGTGAGTGCCATCCATAACACCAACAATTCCTGGAAAAGTAGTGTTTGTTTCAAAACCTTCTGAAATGTGTCTCTGTCTTTCATAAGATGGCCAAGATATATACTGTTTTACCCTTGCGCTTAAAATTTCTGCAACATTTTTAATACATGTGTGTACAAACCACTCGCTTACGCCAAAAAGCAGAGCTATTTCTCTCTGACTGTCCAAATTCGCCAAATACCAAATGAATATGTAAAGTTGATCCTTGGGTGGTATTGGGATATAGCCCCCATGATTGATTTTCTTCAAAGGGTCCCTAAATTCATTTAATAAATGAGAATACATTGTTTTGCTAATTCTTAAGTGTCTTCTAAACTCACTCTCCGACCATACATCAACAACATTGTCCACAAAATCTTTCACTTTAGGTCTTGGGTCATTTTGTCCTGCTGATATTGATGAAAATATTGGTACAGGGTCATTAAATAAGCAGGGAAGTTGCTTTTCTAATAAAAATTCTTCCAAAAAGTAATATTTCCCAAATAAAGACGCCATATTGTTTTTGTTCTTAATATCAAACTTGTTGTTAGGGCGTTTGTTCTTGAGAACAAGAAGAACAAGTTCCTGGAAGACCTTGTTCGTTCTTAGTTGTTTCGCCCAAAGACGCTCTAAGTAGTTCACCTGCTTAATACCCAGGAGCAGAGAAGAAAATTTTCAAATATTTAATGTATTTTCACTATATAATCAATAGTGCCCTGCCCTATCACCAGAACCCCTGACCCTGGGCCATAAAATTCACAATTTTGGGAGAGGCACTCTTGCTCATCATAACTGTGTACTTAGTTAGTTTATTTAATACCTAGGAGCGGAGAAGAAGATTTTCAAAGAATTCATGTATTTTCACTATTTAATCAATAGAGCCCCGCCCTAACACCAGAACCCTTGACCCTGGGGCCATAAAATTCACAATTTTGGTAGAGGCACTCTTGCTCATCATAACTATGTACTTAGCTAGTTTATTTAATACCTAGGAGCGGAGAAGAAGATTTTCAAAGAATTCATGTATTTTCACTATTTAATCAATAGAGCCCCGCCCTAACACCAGAACCCCTGACCCTGGGGCCATAAAATTCACAATTTTGGTAGAGGCACTCTTGCTCATCATAACTATGTACTGAGTTAGTTTATTTAATACCTAGGAGCGGAGAAGAAGATTTTCAAAGAATTCATGTATTTTCACTATTTAATCAATAGAGCCCCGCCCTAACACCAGAACCCCTGACCCTGGGGCCATAAAATTCACATTTTTGGTAGAGGCACTCTTGCTCATCATAACTATGTACTTAGTTAGTTTATTTAATACCTAGGAGCGGAGAAGAAGATTTTCAAAGAATTCATGTATTTTCACTATTTAATCAATAGAGCCCCGCCCTAACACCAGAACCCTTGACCCTGGGGCCATAAAATTCACAATTTTGGTAGAGGCACTCTTGCTCATCATAACTATGTACTTAGCTAGTTTATTTAATACCTAGGAGCGGAGAAGAAGATTTTCAAAGAATTCATGTATTTTCACTATTTAATCAATAGAGCCCCGCCCTAACACCAGAACCCCTGACCCTGGGGCCATAAAATTCACAATTTTGGTAGAGGCACTCTTGCTCATCATAACTATGTACTTAGTTAGTTTATTTAATACCTAGGAGCGGAGAAGAAGATTTTCAAAGAATTCATGTATTTTCACTATTTAATCAATAGAGCCCCGCCCTAACACCAGAACCCCTGACCCTGGGGCCATAAAATTCACATTTTTGGTAGAGGCACTCTTGCTCATCATAACTATGTACTGAGTTAGTTTATTTAATACCCAGGAGCAGAGAAGAAGATTTTCAAAGAATTCATGTATTTTCACTATTTAATCAATAGAGCCCCGCCCTAACACCAGAACCCCTGACCCTGGGGCCATAAAATTCACATTTTTGGTAGAGGCACTCTTGCTCATCATAACTATGTACTGAGTTAGTTTATTTAATACCCAGGAGCAGAGAAGAAGATTTTCAAAGAATTCGTGTATTTTCACTATTTAATCAATAGAGCCCCGCCCTAACACTAGAACCCCTTTTCTGGGGCCATAAAATTCACAATTTTGGTAGAGGCACTCTTGCTCATCATAACTATGTACTTAGTTAGTTTATTTAATACCAAGGAGCAAAGAAGGAGATTTTCAAAGAAATAATGCATTTTCACTATATACTCGTTTTAGCCCCGCCTTTGCATTAGAACCCCTGACCCCAGGGCCATGAATTTCACAATTTTGGTAGAGGACTCAATGCTGATTACAATCATGCAAACAGTTTGACTGCTTGGTGTCTAGGAGTAAAGAAGAAGATTGTTAAAGAT